TCATAGTCAGTGCAAATGTAGGAGATATGGGTCCAGCAGGCAAGCCGGGGAAAGTTGAGGCAGGTCTCATCTGCGTGTGTCTGCTTTCTCAGTGGATTATGTGGCGGCAGTAACTTCAGATGCAGAACAGGGAAGTATGGGAGACTGGAAAAGAAAGGTGGTGTGAAACTTGTTTCAGGAGAGGAAACATGTTGCTTGTGGGAAACTTATCCCGAGGGAAATAGGACTAGGACTCTATTCCCTAACTGATGACAGAGGGAATCTGGAGAGCTAGTGTTCCACAGCAGAAAAGCCACCACTTTGGTACGTTAAAGTCCAAATACATTATCCTGCATTAAATATCATTCCCACAGATTCTCCCCTAACAACTATGTTGCCTTAAAGTGAGCACATAGGTGATTCTATCTCCCTCCTATGGAAACAGACATTCTTTTGTTATCTTCTCCCACTGCGACACCCATCCCCCCTCATACCTTCTCTCAATGCAGGTATTAGGTTTCCTCACCTGTGAGCTCAGGAACTTTATTGTGGTTACCACCCACCGTGTGACGTATGTAACTACTGAATATGCATGGCTTATGTCGACCTAAAAATATCCATCCCTACAGTAAAGACTCTCTGTAGGGGCCTGGCTGCTGGAATCATTGCTGTCCTGGGGGTGAGCATGCTACCATGAAATGTGTCTGATTCCTTTATTTTATTCTCTCTCCTATCCTCCAGGACTTTACTATGATCTTTCTATATTATAACCATACAATTGTGCCTACAGAACCTTTGGTTGTTAGAGACTGATTTACTGTTACTGATGCTTATCTTTTCAGGAAGTAGTGAATTTGAGATTTAGAGTGATTTCCCACTATTTTGTTTTTATTTCGACTTAAAGTGAGGCCAATCAGCAGTGAGGTATGGCTTTATCCAACTCTATTCATCTAGTTAAGTTTAGGAGCAGAATCAGTGGATAAAACGCAAACTCACTGCCATTAAGTCAATGCTGATTCATAGCAACCCCCTGTGGTTTTCCGAGACTGTAACTGTTTATGGGAGTAGAAAGTCCAGTCTTTCTCCCTCGGAGGTGCTGGTGGTTTTGAACTACGGTCCCTGTGGATTGCAGCCCAATGCCTAGCTACTACACCATCAGTGGATAGTTGGGATTAATATGAGTTGTTTCTCCAGCTTACTACAACAGAGGTAGTGAGGTTGAGTTTAAGAGCGCGGGTGGAGTCTGACAAAGTAGCAGCATAAATGGGTTCCAAAAACTAAACTCACTGTCATTGAGTCAATTACAACTCATGGCACCCTATAGGCCAGTTAAACTGCCCCGTTGGTTTCTGAACCGGTCACTGTTTAGGGGTCTTAGAAAGTCTCCTGCAGAGTGGTTGATGGTTTCAAACTGCTGACCTTGCGGTTAACAGCCCACTAAGCAATCCACTACACCTGAACAGATTGCTCAAGTGGAGACGATTGAGCTGGAAAAGCAGAGTGTTATGATTAGAGATTGAGATCACACATGCTTTACAAATGTTTTTAATTATGCAATGACAATTAGGGTTAGAATTCAATTAAAATTCACGTCATTGTGCTAATGTGAGGCCAAGGGGGTGGCTGGATGGACAGGGCAGCAGCTGTGTGGGGCTGACTGCAGAACTTCACTAACTCTACACATGGAGGAAGCTGGATAGAAGGGCAGGGAGAGGGGGCATACAAGATGAGGCACCCCCCCACACACATCAGAATCCCCCCTCCCAAAGCTATGTATTTATTTATTTTAACAAAACCTTATCACCTGCAAAGTACTCTCCATTGCACCTAGTATACTTGTCAAATCTGCTGTTCGATTCTTGGAGACATTTTTCAAACATCAGTTTGGATGGCTGACAGCACTTCCCTTATTTTTTTCTTTCCCTCTTCCACCTCATCATATCGCTGTCCTCTTCATTTGCAGAAACAAAAAAAAAATGTTGCATGGAGCAAGTGAGGAAGGTGCACAGGGTAAGCGAGGCATGCTGTTTGTTGCTAAAAAATGGCATGCTGAGATGTCTGCGTGAGCAGGTGCATTGTCATGGTGGCAAAACCAGTCCCGTCTACCACAAATCAGGCCTTTTTTGTCGCATACTGTTATGCAATCTTTTCAAAACCTCCAACTCCAAGAAAGCTTGATTAACATTCTGACCTGGTGGAATGAACTCCAGATGCACCACGAGGAGACATTTTTGTCCATTTGGGAAGTTGATGGATGTCCTGACAATGTGTGTCATCAATTGACATTTCACTATTTTTTGAAAAGAGTTTTTCATACACTTGAGTTTTTTTCCCATAGCATTGCCCTTGTTAGCTGTGTTCAACATCACAACAGTTTGGGGGGCATTTTTTCCAAACAGAAAACAAAATTTCAGCTTTCTCTTAAATTAGCCATCACGAAAAATGAGGTTCGAGAGAAACTGGTTTTGCAAAAAAATTCAGTGACCAGACAGAACCTTCCCAGGTGAAGCCACTGGGTGCACTAACACAGAGTGAGTTGCTGGATGCTCACCTAGCAGGAAAAACCCATAATACGAAAGCTCCGCCCAGTGGAGCTTTTTTCCAATTTTTTTGGGGGGGTACCCCCTTGTAAACTTTGCAGTGTTTGCCAGATTGTCTCTTATTCCCTCACGCCAATGTAATGCCCTTGTTGCTGCAACAGACTTGAAGTTCTGAGGTGGAAGGATCAGTCCTTTGGTGGTAAATTCCTCTTTGACTAGTTGGCTTTCTGAACTCATCCACTTTAGAATCTTTTTGTATTGTTCTGTTAAGAAATCACGTCCTACTCAATCTCTAATGGTAACATAGTTTTCCAGCTCAATCTTCTCCACCTGAGTAACTTTCTCAGGACTTGTAACCCATTGGAGTAGGAGCCTTGGGAGTACAGTGGTTAAGTGTTGGGCTGGTAACCACAAGGTCCGCCGTTTGAAACCACCTGTCACTCTGCAGGGAGAAAGAGGAGGCTTTCTACTCTTGTGAAGAGTTGCAGTCGAGGCAACTCGCAAGAGCGGCTCCATCTGCCCTGGAGGGTGGCGAGACAGAATGGACTTGATGGCAGTGAGTTGGGAGAAGCCGTTGATGTCACTGCTTTGTCAGACTCCACCACCCTTCCTAGACCGGCCTCATTTGCTGTGCAGGCCACTTGTTTCAGCACTGCCTGCTGCTGTTTCTAAAAGATACCCGAGAACAGGAATATGCTCTATATAATGCCACAAAATCTCAGAATGTAAGCAGTTCTCTACAGGCATCTGGGATAACAAGAGTGCATTCTTTAAAGAGTGTCGGGAGTCTCTAGGTGGCCTCTCATTGGCCACTTCATTGAAGAGGGGGGGGTGGAAACTGTAAGGTCCCAGGCCAATAAGGGTAAACGGAGAGCAATGTCACTTAGGGTTGAGGATGTTGCTATCGAGTTGAATCCGACTCTGAGTGACCCTCTGTGACAGAGCAGTACTGCCCCTAGCCTTTCCTAGGCTGTCACCTTTATGGGGGGGATCACTAAGTTTTCGTCTCCTAAGGAACATCTGATGGGTTTGAAGTGCCCACTGTTTGGTTAGCAGGTGAACGTTTACCCACGGTGCCCCAAGGACTAAGTTACAAGCAGAGGCTGGTCCGATCTTCAATGAGTCTTTGGGTTGGGCTCCTCTATGTAGTTCTTCATGGGGTAAAGAACAGCTTAGTCCCCCCATATTGACTCTCTGCTGGAATTATGAGTATTGAAATAGCAAACTTTTTGTAGGGATATGCTGTAAGAGGTAAAGGTTTAGCCCCCCCCCCCCCACGCTTTTTTAAAACATTTTCACAGAGGAAAGCCTTCGGGCATCTTTTCTTGTTTAACAATTCCTCCCTCGTGCTCCATAAACAGGTCCAGAGGCTCT